GCCGAGCTGCGCGCGGCCCCCATCTCGGCCGACGTCCTGCACGTCGCCTCCTCCGGCGTCCGCTTCCGCGCCTCCGCCCCGCCCGCCCGCGCCACCGCCTACCGCGCCTGCCTCTGGCTGCGCACCGCCATCCGCGTCCTCCAAGAGCTCGCGCACGACCCCTTCCTGCCCGACCGCCACCCCGACCCGCCCGCCGCCGTCTACCACTTCGTCAAGGCCGCCGCGGACTGGCCCGCCCTGCTCCCCGACCCGCACCACTCCTTCAGCGTCCAGACCCGCGTCTCCGACGAGCAAGCCATGCGCCGCCCGCAACACCCCCGCCGCCGCCACCCACCCTCCGCCGCCGCTCCCGCCTTCCCCGCTATCGGCGAGCACACCCTCCAAGTCCGCGCCAAGGACGCCGTGTGCGATGCCCTGCGCGACGCAGGCCTCCCCAAGCCGCCCCGCCCGACCTCGCACGCACACGCCCACCTCCCGCTCTTCATCAAGCTCCACGGCCCCTCCGTCACCCTCTACTTGGACATGGCCGGCGCCTCCCTCCACAAGCGCGGCTACCGCTCCGACGCCCCGCTGCACCGCTCCTCGCTTAACGAGTCCGTCGCGGCCGGCATGCTCTACCTGGCTGGCTTCCGCCCGGACGGCTCGTTCGTCAACCCCCGTTCCGCCGACAACCCCGCTCATACCGCCCCCGCCGCCGCCGCCACCCCCGCCCCGCGCGCCCTCACCATCGTCGACCCCATGTGCGGCTCCGCCACCCTGCTCATCGAGGCCGCGCTGCTGCGCCTGCGCGTCGCCCCAGGGCTGTACCGCGCCCGCTTCGCCTTCCAGGCCTGGCCCGACTTCGACCCCGCCCTGTTCGAGGACCTTGTGCAGGAGGCCGTGCGCATGCAGCGCGCCGACGATGACATCGCCGCACGCTTCATCGGCAACGACGTCAACGCCGCCGCCCTAAGCCTCGCCCGCCGCGACCTGGAACGCGTCCGCCTCTCCCACGCCATCACGCTCCACCACGCCGACGCGCGCGACCTCGCCCTCCCGGCCCCGCCCACGCTCACCATCTCCAACCCGCCCTGGGGGCGCAGGCTTCATGGCGAGGTCGACGCGTGGCACGCTATGGGCGACTTTCTCAGGCATCATGCACCTGGATGCGTCGCCGTCTTTCTCAGCGGCGACGCGGCCGTCACTAGGGGGCTTCGCATGAAGGCACGCAAGAAGACCCCCGTGAGAATCGGAAACGTCGATACGCGCGTCCTCGTTTATGATGTGCTGCCGAAGAAGGGCGAGGGGGGCGAGCGTGAGGATGATCAACCCGGTCCGAAGAGAAGAGGTCTGGGCGACGGGCAACGGCGCGCTCCAAAGCTTTCAGAACGTGAAATGCCCATTCTTTGACGAGTCGGGACGTCCTGTCCGTCGCAGAGATGTCTATGACAACTCGGATGCTCTGTCGTCAGTAGAGATAAGAAGGGAGCCATCCCGCGTATGGGAGGTGAATGTCGGAAGGCCGAATGGAGATCGAAACTCTTCACTCTGACAAAACAAAACTGTGCAACTGTGCAGAAACAGTATAGATGCTGCACCGTACATGTTTCAACTACCCTCCCCAGACAAATTTTGGTGTAATCGATACAGTTCTTTCCGGCAACCAAAGAGGAACAACACAGTCTTTGGCGGCCGTATAGCGAAGAGATCGCATCGCTAATTCTATAACGCCTGCTCCAGCAGTCCTCACCGAGATACTACAAGTACATTCAGAGCGGTGCTGCCTCTTGCAGAGGGCACACTATCAAAAGCACGCAGAATGCAACTCAACCTGAACACCGGAGCTAAATTCGAGCACGAATTTCCGCCTAAGCTTCTGCATATAAACTTTATGTCTGCTTTCATGCAAAGCTGGGCCTCGAATGAATTCGAAATAGAAATATACTCTCGATTGGCTTCCGGTTTTCAGCTTGAGACTGCAGCAATGTCCTCATATGAGGACAGCTCTTCTCTTTGCAAAAATATATAAAATAAATTGAACATTTAACAAAGCTACAGTACCCTGGACACTATTTCCTCAACGTACTTGTTTTCGGCAATAGCATCTCGCAGAACGCCGGGATAGCAGCTTTGAATACGCAAAAAGATTAAGAATATAATGCAGATTGAGTATCTAGTTCCCTTTTTGAACTGGCGTTATGGGTTTCGAAGGTATTTTACACGTGGTTTTAAGGTGGTTTGAAAAAGCTTCTTTTCCAGACATATCTAGAAACGACCAGGAAGAGCATGCAATTCTCTCAAAGTTCTTTCTGGTCCCAAAGAGGAAAATATGTGGAAAAATGTCCTCATATGAAAACAATGGTCCGATAGACGCTGGGAGTTGACAAAGCTTGGGCGTGCCATGTCGTGGAGTACAGAATTTCGTGTCTTACAAACGTGACAGTTAGCAATTATCCAAAGCAAACAGCATGCCGTCGTTCCAATGTCTTAATTGGGAGATTGATGTGATAGCAGGGCATTATTATGCTTGGTCTTGGTCTGACTAAGCGCACATTACAAGGTGACGTTTGAATTTATACAGCACTTGTGTACCAAGGGGAAGAGGGGCCAGACGCAGAATAGTCTGCGCTCGCTTAGCAGCTGGGATCCGGGGTGGGGGGACATTCGACAGGGACATTCGACAGACGGGTTCCATTGGGGGGAGCACGCGCCGGAGTCTGTGGATATAACCAATAACCAATAATATCACGACACATTTCTTATGACTGCTTCTAGGATGGTACAGTACCTTTTATTGCGGCGGCTGATTGGCCAAATATACGAAGAACACTGCGCAGTACGGTTCAATTGACCAAGAGTGCGCGAGTCTGCCGCAAAAGCTTTATCTCTTCGTCGGGGCGGTTCCAAGTTGTCAGTCAGATATTGGCTCCGAGCAAAAAGCCACGTGCACAGATAACCTAAGAAAGCCTACTCACTTCAGAACCGCGTCATTGAGTGCAACTGATCCCAGGTCCTGGCAGTAGCCCTTGCCCTCTGCAAGACAAGGCAGAGGGCTCTTGAGCATGGCTGCGGAGGCGTTATCTTTCGTCTTTTCGCTACAATATAGGAGGCGATTTGGGCTTTTGCCATAACCTTGATCACTGTTTTGTGCTGCACGTGCAGCGTATCCAATCCGTGCCCAATCTGCACAATCTGAAAGGAAGAGAGCTCGACGTGCCACTCTAGAAAACACCAAAGCGGCCACTGCCGCTGCCATCAAAGCCATTTCAGACCAGGAAGAAACTGTTCATTTCATGCACACAGTATACTGTAATGTTACAACAGAAGCGACAGCCCCCGCCCCCGCCCGCCGCCCCCGCCCGCCGCCCCCTGTTCCCGCGTCCATGCCACGTGCTCTGTGTGGGGGCGGGCGTCGCTGCTCTCTCGCTGCTCTCTCGCTGCTCTCTCGTCTTGTCAAGACATACCCTTCAGGGTGTGTCTTAACAAGCGCTTGTTTTGTTAGGGTGTGTTAGACATGTCCTTTTCTTCCCAAAAACCCCCGCGTGCCAGGGGACACAAGCTTTCCGGAACGGGCTTCCAACCACGTCACCCCACCGAACGCCCCCCAAGCCTCGCCCAAAAGTGCCACCATAACATGTTACCCCCTGCACTGGCGCCCGACAATTTGCTGGTCTTGCGCCCTGTGACCCGACGAGGCACGCGTGCATTGTTGTAGAGCCGCCACACGCGCCGGCGGTCCGGTCACGCGGCTCGACCGATTTCTACCGCACGTTTTTCCCTAGCGTTTTCAGCGGGACGCCCGTGTGCGCCCGTGTGGGATGCGGGCAGCACCGGGCGAACCTCACCCGCGACAACTCACCCCGCCTCTCGCTTCATGAGCGTCGCAGGGCAGTCAGTCTCAGCCCCCGTACCTTCGCATACGTCCGCGCGTTGATGGAGCGCGATGGGATGGGGCTGTGGGCACGCTTCTTGAGAAACGTCCGCCCCTTCGGTTATCGGCCCTTCCGAGCATTGCGATTGCACAAGTGCACTTATCATATGCGCAGCGCGGAACGCGTTGTTACGTTGCGTTTTGACTCGCGATGCCGCATCCACCGCCCATTTCACTGCACTGGGCCAGGTTATAACTTGGAGGCCGTCCGCAACAGATAGCTGACGTAAAAGAAACAACACATGGTATCAAGCGAGCGATGTCAATTTGACATCTTTATCACCCACTTCGGGCGCCAGCGGGACACGGCTCCAAAATATCGCAACCAGAATCATATAGACAGTAATACATTTGGCTTCTGTGCAGCGGCACGCAAATGTAGTGTAGTGTATCCCGTTTACGTTGGTTATATTAAGTTACCCTTTAGTGTCATTGATTCATCAGATTTGCCATTGCAGTGCCTCTGTCCGATGCCAGTGTTTCACGAAAAAAGCTCATGCGTTAGTCTATCACCGGCAAGAGAAGGACAGAGAGTGCCCCTGTTTGAACAAACAAAAAACACAGACACACACAGACACACACCCCCACATACATCATCATCATCATCATCATCATCATCATCATCATCATCATCTATCATGACTGTCCTCTCCACTGCCATCGTCAAGTAAATGCTTGGCCAAACTCTCCTTTATCCGTCCGGAAAGTCCCTTCCTCCACCCATTCGATATGCTCGCTGCCGATTCCACAACGCTGTAGTCTAGCGGCGGGCTGTTGCTCTTGCTTGGCGACGCCTCGTCCAGCAAGTGGTTGAGGTAGAGCTCCATTCCGTAGTCCTCGTCGGCGTTCAACGTCTCGCCAAGGTTGAGGTCTTTGATGTTCTCCGAGCTCTGGTGCATGCGGACGGCATGCATTCCCGGCAGCTCAATGCTGTGCAACTTCTCGTGGTGCTTGTCATACGAGGCGATGAGAGCGGTGAGCTGGTCGACGTGCTTTGCATCCGCGCCCGCGGCGCGTACCCGTTCGTCGTATCTCGCGAGCACGCTGAGCGGTGCCTTGGTGGCATGGTTGTCCTTGTGGTCTGTGAGAAACTGGAGCACCTCGCCGCGCTGGAGTATGGCGACGGTAAGGTCCTCGCATCTGGAAAAAAGGGCGCAAAGAATCTGGCCGAGGCGGACTTGCAGGACGTCGTTCCGTCGGTAGCGGCGGGCCGTGGCCAGGAGGTTGTTGATCAAAAGGTCGTTGTCCTCCGTGAGCAGGCGGCGCAAAGATGGTTCTTCTGGGAGGGTTTCGGCCATCTCGCGGATCATATCGACGACGGCCAGGCGCCTCGTGCCCAGGACCGGGCGGGCTGTGTCATTGACGAGCAGGTGGGCAAAGTGGGCAGAAAAGTCGGCTAGCCCCTCTGCGAGCGGGGTGATATCAATGGACTTGACTGCGCGGCGTGTGGTCGGGAGCGGGGCGTTCTGGACATGTCGGAAGCCCTTGAGGAGGGTAGAGACGAGGGTGAGGGCAGGGATGAGGGCGTGGGTGTGGACGGTGTCGTCCAGGGCGACCTGAAGCAGGTCGAAGACCGGGCGGGGGCTGAGCAGCAAGGTCATGTGAGTGCGGGCATCATTGTAGGCATGGGCGGTGACGATGCCGATGTTGCCGGCGTAGCCGGTGTCCATGCGCTCGTGGGGGTCCTCGTACTTGCGGGTGAGACACATGGCGCGGTCGGAGATCTCGGCCATGGCGGTGGTGGCGTTGTCCATGACGCGGACGAGGACCTGCTTCCTGCAGTCATCGGCGTCGCCAAATTCGCGCGCGGCACTAGCAAAGCGGCTAGCGAGCAGGCGCTGGACGTGGGCGGAGCCGAGCATGGCGATGGCCTTCTTGTGCATGGGGACGAGCGGTGCGGCGGGGTCGGGCGAGAAGACGCGGTGGGCGACGAGGCGCGGGAGGAGGTCTGCGGCGGGCTGCAGGGCGACGTGGGTGACGAGGCGGGCGACGAGCGGGGTGGAGGCCAGGGCGGCGGCGGTGGAGCGCGGGAACTCGTGCAGCATGGCGCGCAGGACGTCTGCGACGTGCGTGGCCAGGGTGGGGCTGAGCGAGCCGGCCGGGGCGTCGAAGACGTGGGCGAGGGCGCGGAGCAGGTCGGGGCGCTCGCTCAGGGCGCGGCGCAGCGGGCACGGGCCGAAGCGCAGCAGCGTGGCCGCGACCCAGGCGCGCGGGTAGCGGTCGCGCGGCGAGTGCGTGGCCGTGTCCGGGTGCGGCTTGGATTGCGGGACCGAGGTGAGGAAGGAGAGCAGGGTGGCGAGCTTGGCGGGGTCGGCGGACAGGCCCGCGGCTAGGTGGGCCACGTCCGCGTGCGCGAGCGGGGAGGTTAGCGTGTGCAGATGGTCGACGAGGTGGGCGGCTGGCATGTCGCGCAGGCGGCGGCGCGGCGACGACGACGACGCCGCGCGGGGCCGCGCGGGCGCGGGGTGGAGACGC